AACACCATCCTCCCAGCCATTGAGGGATGAGATTCAGATGTTGTTAAGCAAAGGAGCTATATCTCCGGTTAATGAAATTGATATTTCGCGTTGTTTTTTTTCACGTTATTTCCTCATTAAGAAGCGCACGGGGGGTTTACGACCTATTTTGGACCTCAGATAGTTAAATAAACACGTTCAACAAAAAAAGTTTCGCATGGTCACTTTAAATAATATTTTGCCCTTATTATTCAAGGGGGCATGGTTTGCAACCATAGATTTGAAGGACGCCTATTTCCACTTGTCCATTGCAAAATACCACCGTAGGTATCTCTCCTTTATGGTGGAGAATGACCCATATTGGTTTAATGTCTTACCTTTTGGGCTGTCCTCTGCCCCAAGGGTATTTACTAAGTGTATGTCCGTTGTGTCTGCCTACCTACATACAAGGGGCGTGTCTTTATTTCCTTATATTGATGATTGGTTGGTGGTGGCCGACTCGCGTGCCCAGATTCAGTCGCATCTTTCTATTGTTTTGTCTCTCATACAGTCCCTAGGTCTGGTGATCAACGTGGAAAAGTCGGCCTTGACCCCAACTCAACAGATCCACTTCATAGGCGCCCTTTTGAACTCCACTACCGAGAGGGCTTACCTTCCGGACGACCGATTTGTAAATCTACAGGCCTTGGTCCATCAAGCAATTTCTGCTCCATGTCTTACTGCCAGACAAATCCAGACACTCCTAGGTCACATGGCCTCTGCTACTGCGGTGGTGCCGTATGCCAGACTGCGTATGCGCCCACTTCAATACTGGTTCATATCGGTATACAGCCCTCTCCTGGACAGTCAAAACACCAAACTGTCCATTCCAGAATCTGTCCGCCAATCCCTCCGGTGCTGGGGGGACAAGGAATGGGTGTGCAGGGGATACCCTTTTCATGCTCCACGTGTTACATGCATACTTACGACAGACTCTTCCCTCTCGGGATGGGGTGCCCATACACAGGGTCTCACCGCTCAAGGAGAGTGGACAGAGGAAGAAAGCACATCACATATAAATCTTCTCGAATTGCTCGCAGTCGACAGAGCACTAAAGTCCTTCGAGAAGGTGGTAGAAGGTCAGACCGTCCACATTCAAACAGACAACACCACAGTCATGTTTTATTTAAACAAACAGGGCGGCACACATTCCCGTCACCTGTTGGATCTCACTCTCAAGATTTGGGAGTGGTGCATAGACAGAGGCATTCACCTAGTGACGACACATGTCCCGGGGGAGGACAATACACTGGCAGACTCACTCAGCCGGAAACCTCTGGCGAATCACGAGTGGGCCCTCAATCAGGAGGAGACAACCAGGCTCTTCAGAGCTTGGGGATATCCAGAGGTGGACCTGTTTGCTTCCGCAGCAAATGCAAAATGCGCCCTTTTTTGCGCACGGCGGAACGTTTCTCCGCAGGAAGGGTGTCTTGGGGACGCGTTCCTCCAAAACTGGTCGGGTCGTCTAGTGTATGCTTTCCCACCCTTTCCCCTATTGCTGAAGGTGGTGGCGAAAATGCAGAGGGAGAACACGAGCTGTATCCTGGTGACCCCATGGTGGCCTCGTCAGCCCTGGTTTGCCCCCCTGCTTCAGATGTCCAAAAGAATTTTCTTCCGATTCCCCAACAGAGTAGACCTACTTTCGACACAGGGAGGCAGGGTGTTTTACCCAGATGTAAAAGACCTACGACTGACGGCGTGGAGAATACAGCCGAACCAGTAATCCAGGTTCCTAATTTGTCAAAAAATATCCAGACTATTTTGGAGGCGGCCCATAAAGCTTCAACAAAGAAATCTTATGTGTATAAATGGTCAAAGTTTAGTGCGTTTACAAACGAAAAGGGGGTAAGTCCCACAACAGCGCCAATAGAATTAGTGCTGGAATTCCTTATGTCTCTGGCGGACGCGGGGTTATCCCTGTCATCTCTCAAATGCTACCTGGCAGCAATCTCCTGGTTCCGTAGGAAGGACGGTCACCCGTCTTGCTTTACTCACCCCCTAGTTAAACTCTTCCTACGGGGAATGGCAAACACTAGGCCTCCAGTGGCCCCAATAGTTCCATCATGGAGCCTTGAATTAGTGCTTTCATACTTAACAAAACTACCTTTCGAACCATTAGCTACCACGCACATCTCATACCTCTCCTGGAAAACGGCGTTCTTGGTAGCCATCACGTCGGCAAGACGTGCTAGTGAGTTGTGTGCTTTGCGGGTGGATTTCCCTTATTTGAGAATGCATAAAGATAAAGTGGTACTTAGAACAGATGTTGCCTTTTTGCCTAAGGTCTCGTCTTTTTTCCATATGTCTCAGGACATAGTACTCCCTTCATTTTTCCAAAATCCCTCTTCGCCTATGGAGCGAACACTGCACCTTCTGGATGTTAGGAGAGCCATAGCTTATTATTCTGACAGAACAGCATCACTAAGGAAAACACCACGTCTCTTTGTTAAATACCGCAAGGACATGGAGGGCTTACCCTTGACATCTCACAGATTTTCCTCATGGATAGTTTCTACCATTAAGTTATGCTACCAATTGGCTGGCAAGGACTTACCTTTACAGGTCAGAGGCCATTCCACCAGAGCCATGTCTACTACTGCGGCCTTCATGAGAGGAGTGCCTTTAGATGTCATCTGTCGGGCGGCCATCTGGACGAACCCGCTGTCTTTCGTGGCACACTACAAGCTGGATTTAGCTTCAAAGAAAGATGCCGAGTTCGGCAGGGCGGTGCTGTTTACGGCGGTGGCATGACTCCCACCAACCACGGTCAGTAGCTCGCTAATCTATCAATTGTATGCTTCGCAGGGACTACGTAAGGAAATTATAAGTTGCTTACCTGTAACTGTAGTTTCCTTAGTAGTCACCTGCGAAAGCATACACACCCACCCTCCTCCCCGCTAGGGTCATGCCGCGCCTTCCAGCTGCTTTGCGGCGGAAGAGAACTGACGGTTGGCCCCGCCCACGGGCTATATATACCAGGGGAGGGGGGCGTGGCCTATCTAACTGTCATTCTTTTAATTTGAAAGGTTCCGAATGCTGCTGCACGAGCGCAGAGAATATCAATTGTATGCTTTCGCAGGTGACTACTAAGGAAACTACAGTTACAGGTAAGCAACTTATAATTCCTGCACAGATGTTGCTTGGGATGATCCCCCTCCCTCTCTCATATACACATATATTATATCTGCCCAATCTTGATTACAACCTTTTCCTTCCATTTTCATGGTAAAAAGCAGTTGTTTTTTTAAAAAATTCACAACCGATTGGGACCAGTGCCTGCTCATGTCTAGTTCTTTAAAAAGACTTCTCCAGGGCCTAAAATGACCCAGGGCCCCCAAAACAGGGTCAAAATAACCCCCAAGGTGTCATCTGTTTCAAAGCAAATCTGACCTTCACAAGATAAGATAGTCTGGAGCAGATGGGGCAAATGTATTCTTTGTATTTCTTTTATGTGGTCCCCATGACTTTAACAAATGGGTTATGTATGCCTGCAGAGTACCTTTTTGGACTTGTTCTCCAGCCATATATGAGGGGCGTTCATTACAGATTTCCTCTGACCCACTTCCTGTGGACTGAGAGTAATGAAACTCGGCCCAGTTCTGAGTCCTTCTCTCCATCAGTGCCACCTAGGGACACAACACTTCTCCCATCTTTTTAAGCAACTGTAAACACCTCGCTTGTAGAAGTTGACAGGTTGCTTCAAAAGCCACATTGTGACTTTGGAAATCAGAGTCTTGTCATCTGAAAAATGCTTGCCTTTCAAAAATAACTACATTGTTGGAAAGAGGTGGAAGTCCGATGGTGTGAGGTTGGGTGAATAAGGGGGATGCGGAAGAATTTCAAAGCCACCGGAACGTACTTCCTTTTGGGCAACATGTGAGTTGTGAACTGGTGCATTGTCTTGCAGGAAGCCTGACACCTTTGGCGAGCATACCATGTGTCTTGGTTTGGATGGCCTCCTGCAATTTCCATAGCAGTGAAGCATAGTATGCCCAGTGTTCATTGTACCCTTTGCTAGGAAATCCATCAACACTACTTGGTGCTGGTCCCAAAATCCTTTGAGCATGATGACCTTTCCTGCCAAGAGTTGGGCACGTTCCTTCTTTGGAGGCAGTGAGTCATGATGCTTCCATTGCATCTACTGGGCTTTAGACTCAGAGTGATGGACCCTATATGATCTATCTGTTGAAAAAATTCTCCTGGTTTCCATGGCACATCGTCATTAGAGCCTGAGAGCATTCGACTCATTCCTATTTCTGGAAAGATGTGAGCAGCCAAGGGACCCAGCAAGAAGATACCTTATGCACATGAAGATGGTCTTGGATGATTTTTTCCATGGACCCCACACTAATCTTGACATTTTGGGCTAGGTAGCAAATGGTTACGAAGCAATTTTCCAAAATAGCGACCTCCACTTTCTGGATGGTGTGTTCATCAGTAGCAGAGGGGGGTTGCCCTGGAATTGGAGCTGCTTTCACCAAAGTCCAACTACATTGGAATCGACAATGCCAGTTCTTGACTCCATCATATGATAGAGAATCATCACCATAAAACTCTTTCATCTCATTGAACGTCTCCTTTGGTGTACGGCCTTTTCAAGTCAATGAACTTGAGGACTCCTTTGTATTCCATTCTCAAACCTCACACCACTTCAGCACCTGACAAATCAAGACCGTTCTTGGTTCTGAGCTGTAAATTGGCACAAAACCTATAGAGACTTATATCATCACACATGTGCAGTTTCAGCATCTTGTGATAAATAGAAGTGGGTCAGGGGAAATCTTTAATGAACATCCTTCACATTTCCCCAGGTTGCTGCCTGTGGAAACTGTCCCATAGGGATATTAAGAATCGGCCTGGCTCCTCTTTCGTAATGCTGTATGATTCCAAAATGTTATAAACGCATGACTTTGTGAATGTGCAGAGAAAGTTGGCTTTTATAAATGTGTGTGCAAAGTATTGTTTTCTTGCATTACATATAGATCCTGACACTTACAGAGTATTATATAATGTGCAACAAGAATCCTGCGACGAAAGCGATACAGATAGTGATGCGTCGACCTGTTAATTCAGATTTGGAATTGAAGATCTGGATGTTGTATTTCACACGATGAAAAGATCCATTTAGATTTTGCAAACAGGCATTTAAATGTTTATCAGTTCAAACAGTGAGTGTCATTCCCGTAAGTGGTAGAATCTTAGTTTTTCAGCCATTAGGATTTTGAAAAGGTCAAGCAATTGGAGATATTTGCTCTTTGACAGATGTCATAACACTGTGATCCTACAAATGTTTATTTGGAAATGCGTTCAACTACTTGCCATGGGATTTAATTAATGTAGGCTGAAATAAGCGTATTTAGTTAAGAATAATGGCAGTAACAGCACACTGTGATGGGAATACTTTCAGTAAGTCAGTATATTAATTAATATTGGCTATTATTCACAATCGCAAATTCAAATGAATTGCTTGGAGTTACACACCCATAACTGATATGTATTCACCCCATAACTGATATGTATTCACCATTCCTATTGTTTCAGTTGTGTAGGAATACTAGATACATAGTAGATAGGAAACTCTACAGAAAATATTTTGTATTCAGAATACAGTAGAAGATTTTGATTTATTTGAAACCTGTTTGGAGAAAGGATTTCAAGTTTTGTAATGCATCTGTTGTGCCAGTCCAAACATCTCAGGCCCCTTCTACACAGCTGTATAAAATCCACATTATCTGCTTTGAACTGGATTGTATGGCAGACTAAGATAATCCAGTTCAAATCAGATAATGTGGGATTTTCTGCCTAGATATTCTGTGATGTTGGACTGTGTGGAAGGGCCCTAAATCTCCTTGCATCTCTGCATAGTAGAAAAGGCCATAGTTACAAAGAACGGATAGAAGAGAGCCTTCACAGCTGTGCTACTTCAGTTATGGTCTTGGGTCTTCCATAGTAGACAAGACCATCCTCCAAAGCCAAAAGAGTTGTTCAAGGGGGCGGGGGTGTAACTGGCTTAGGTTGCCCCCCTTTTTTTCCTACCACGTCTATTTAATTACTTTTTTAGCTAGGTACTATAAGTTTGTATTGATGTGTTTGTTTCCTGGTTTGGTTTGTTTCTATTATAGCATTGAATGTTTGCCATCTTTAGTTGGAAACAGCTCTGAGTTCCCTGGGGAGATAGGACAGGTTATAAATAAAGTTGTATTATTATTATTATTATTATTATTATTATTATTATTATCAGTTATGTTATAAAAACCTCTAGTTAATCTCTCATGTAACCCGAAGGATGTCTAAATCCGCTCAGGGGTTCTCTTTCTTTTGTAAAGAACATGGATACATCCGTATGTTAACAGTTTTCTCTCATTTGACCCACAGCAAAAGAATGTTGTTCTTCAAATTACAACTAGTATTGGATAAAAAGTGACATAAAATATTGCTTCACAGAATAATACAAATTTAGATGATTTAGAAGCAATTTACTGGTATTCTATGGCTTTCAAAGATGGCTGCAATAATGGGGAAATTATAGAGACAACCACCTGACATTTGTCTAAAACAGTGGTTTCCAACCTTTGGTCCTCCAGGTGTTTTGGACTTCAACTCCCAGAAATCGCAGCCAACTTATCAGATGTTATGGACTGTGGAAACTGAAGTCCAAAATACCTGGAGGCCTAAAGGTTGGGAACCATTGGTATAAAAATGCATTGTGAGACTACTTTTGAGTCAGTGGAAGTATTGGGGATGGAAGAGTATCTTGCAATAATCAGGTTGCTAGTCCTGGTTAGAGCTGGCTTAAGGTACACCTACACTGTAGAATTAATGCAGTTTAACCACCACATCATGGCAGTTGCAGTTTTACAAGGTATTTTGCCTTCTCTGCCAAAGAGTGCTAGTATGCACTAAACTACAACTCCCAGAATTCCATACCCTTGAGCCAAGTGATGTCAGGCTGCATTAATTCTAGGCTGTAAGTGCACCCCAATCGAAGAATTGGGGTTTACCTAAGTGTTGGTTTATCTGTTTAGCAATTGATTGAAATTATTTACTCCAATTGGGATTAACAGGATGTCAGCCAGTTGTCTTCAACTGTGCAAACTACCTATCACCGGCATAGGCCAACTTCGACCCTCCCTCTGTTAGTAGGCTGTTAGGAATTGTGGGAGTTGGAGTCCAAAACATCTGGAGGGAGGGCTGAAGTTGGCCCATGCATGATTTAACACTTCTCCCTCTTTGAATGTTTGGATTCAATGCAGTATATCAGTAAAATGTTAGGAAGACAGAGCTGTTATGCTATTTTTTCCCTCCACAATTGCAAAGGGTCAATTTGCCTCTTCTGTAATAATAATAATAATAATAATAATAATAATAATAATAATAATAATTTTTTATACCCCGCTACCATCTCCCCAAGGGATTCGGTGCGGCTTACATGAAGCCAAGCCCACAGTACATCAGTAAACAAAGGCAATAACAAAAACAATCAATATAAAACAATATAAATCACATAAACAAAAATAATAAACAATAACAGTAACACACAAGCATCTATGTACAAGACAGAGTGCTTTTCATTTTCAGTCTTGGAAATACTATGCCTGTATCTCATTTCCATTCTCTCGTTTGGCTCTTAGCACAATTTAGTTGGAGTTAAAATTTTATAAAATTCTGCTGTTCTAATGAAATGAAGCCATGTTGTAATAGTTGTTTTCTTCATCATTTCGTTTTCCATTTGATCAGTTTATGGCAAATCATTATTTTGTACATTGCCTTACAACGTTAATTAAAAAAGCATTCTTAAATCTTCCTCAGGTGGTTTTCAGAAACTTTATTTATACTTTACATGCAAAGTATAACAACATATACATAAAATAAAGTGATGGCATTCACAAAAGACCAGGAGTCAGCGATGCTGGAATATGTGCAAGTTTTGAGGCTGGGCAGGGAAATGCCTGCAATTCCTCATTTGCTAAATGTTTGTCCCTGAGCAGATACTCCTTTTTTTATATAGCTACTAGCAATCCCCTGTGGCCCAGTCTGTGTATATGTGCATTGTGTGTGTATATATATTCGTGTATATGTGTGTTTGCATATATATGTGGTTTTTGTGCATGTAGTGTAATGTAGTTTTTGGGTTTTTAAGTCTCTTCTGCTATGTTTTTCTGTGTTTTTATGAGTGATGGTCACTTGTTGGCCTGATATGTGTATTGTGTCCAAATTTGGCGTCAATTCGCTCAGTGATTTTTGAGTTATGTTAATCCCACAAACGAACATTACATTTTTATTTATATAGATGTCCACTGATATGCTCCAGTGTCCTCAAAAAAGTAATTATAAAAAAGGATGGACACCTCTCAGGGATGCTTTAACACAGATTCATTTGTATGGAGGGCCACATCAACTTTATTATGGTTGCCTTCAAAGAGCGATTGAATCAGACAGAGAATCCGTAGATACAGAGAGAGGGCCAACTCTTATTTTTTACATAGTTGTCATTGCTTTTTGGTTTTTACCCAGTTTGGGTCCTTAGATGTTATTGAATGACCATTCCCACCACTTTTTATTATTAGAGATAATGACTCTGTGGCTCTGTGGTTGGGGAAAGACTAAAGGCCATTTTAAAGCCAGGCATCTGTATCTAAATTCAGACCACACTCTCCTGACTAAATAAAACAAACTGCAGCCTTCCAGATGTCACTGTATCACAACTCCCATCAGCTCTGATGATGCGGAATGCAGGATTTTGACCCATGTGCTTTGATGGGAGATTCCTTCACTGCTGACCCTTGGGGTATCGTTCAACCCTTGAGTGTATAAGCCAGCAAAAATATTCAAAAGATGCTGGTGATGGTTTAATGCACTGTAGGAAGTTGAGAGCCCTTTAGATCAGGCATGGGCCAACTTCGGCCCTCCCTCCAGGTATTTTGGACTTCAACTCCCATAATTCCTAACAGTTAGGAATTGTGGGAGTTGGAGTCCAAAATACCTGGAGGGAGGGCCAAAGTTGGCCCATGCATGTGCTAGAACCAAAAAGGATTACAATGCAGACATGCATTCTTCGGACATGGAAATATTGACAACTTCTCTGCACCTTGGCCATGATGTCAGGCTGACTTGCCTTTAGATCCCATGATGATCACCAACCAAACCTACAGTCCGTTGAACCTGTAAAAATCGCTGCAGTACATAGAAACTAGCCAATACCATATATTTATGGCTTTCTTGTAGACGGCCTATAAACCTTTACACATTTCCATACTTGTTTTCAACTCCTAGAGAACTGCGATCACAGGCATTTCCATATGCTCACCTGTCATTTCTTTAGAGTTTCATGTCTTCTCAAACAGATTTATAGGTTCCCTGTCATGGTCAARTGTGAATCGCACATTTGGTAATTCCTGCGCCATGAGATTTTGTCTTTGTGCATCTGTGCTTGTCCGCTGGTACATGGCTCTGTCATACCGTTCTGTTCACTGCCATTTGGGGGGGGGGGGCTAAACTGTAATGAAAGTTGGAATGCTTTCCATTTTGGGTTCCATATTTGAAACCAGACAGAAATATGCAGGGRTTTCCTCTTCTGTGTTGACAATACTCCTGTATGGCTTGACTGAGCTTTGTTTTCTAAGTGCTGCAAAACCAAACAATATGTAACAGCAAAATATCATGTTTGAATATGGTTGAATGCTTTTTTGGGGCACTGGCTGCCTCACAAAAGTCTCCCGAATCCTGCCGCACAATTAGAGCCATGGAAGGGAAACGATGCTGCGTCTCTCCTGAGCTATTTGCAGGGTTAAGAATGCAAAGTTTTGTCTTCCTCAGTAGTCTCACCCTCCGGTGGAACAACTTCTAGCAGCATCTGAAGATACATAGTGATGGGGTCTGAAATGATAGAAGTTTTCAAAGATTAGAGGCCTTTCTTTTACTATTTTTGTAAACTCATTCCCTGCTTTGCAAAAAAAAAAAAAAATTCTTAAATGCAGTGTTGACTATTAGTAGCAATAAACAATTTTGGGTGAGAATCTTCCCCTTAGCTAGCAATTGAGCCATTTGAGCCTGTTTATTGATGTGTACATCAGTTCCAATAATGTATTTTCAAAGGCTTTCATGGCTGGAATCACTGAGTTGCTGTAAGTTTTTTCGGGCTATATGGCCATGTTCTAGAGGCATTCTTTCCTGATGTTTCGCCTGCAACTATGGCAAGCATCCTCAGAGGTTGTGAGGTCCTTACAACCTCTGAGGATGCTTGCATAGATGCAGGCGAAACGTCAGGAGAGAATGCCTCTAGAACATGGCCATATAGCCCGAAAAAACCTACAGCAACCCAATTCCAATAATGTTAGTTAGGCTCACCCTTCCGAATACCGAATATTTTCGTGGCTACTTCATAACTGTAATTTACTTCATAACTGTAATTTTGCTACTGTTATGAATCGTAATGTAAATACCTGATATGCAAGATGTATTTTCATTCACTGGACCACATAAATTGGCACAAATACCCAATACGCCCAAATTTGAATACTGGTGGGTTGGAGGGATTGGTRGTGTCATTTGGGAGTTATAGTTGCTGTGATTTATAGTTCACCTACAATCAAAGAGCTTTCTGAACACCACCAATGATGGAATTGAMCCAAGCTTCTCACATAGAYTTGTAGGTTTTACTGGTGGGAATGATGGAATTGAGCCAATCATGGCACACATAACTCRCATGATCAACGGAAAACACTGGAAGGGTTTAGTGAGCATTGACCTTGAGTTTTGGAGTTGTAGTTCACCTACATCCAGAGAGCACTGTGGACTCAAATAATGATAGATCTGGACCAAACTTGGCATGGATACTCAATATGCCCAAATGTGAACATTGGTGACGTTTGGGGAAAATAGACCTTGGCATGTGGGAGTTGTAGTTGCTGGGATTTATTGTTCACCCGCAATCAAAGAGCATTCTGAACCCCACCAACGATAGAATTGGGCCAAACTTCCCACACAGAACCCCCTACTTTGAAGAGACTCACTGGCACAAACCTCCCTCCAGCCTCACACACTTTCCCTCACTCACACATGCGCACTGTACTGCCATGCGCCAAGCAAACCTGCTCTCCCCTTCCTGCTTGGAGTCTCAGTGGGAGGATTTGCTGTTTGTTTCCAAAAGAAGAGAAGGACAGGCAGAGAGATTTTCAGCTTTTTCTGCCAAAGAGGTTCCTAAGACCATCAGAAACCTCCTTGTGACCTCCACAGGGGTCCTGACCCCCAAGTTGAGAAACGCTGCTCTAACCTTTGCATACCATTCACTTCTCAATCGTTCTGCAGTTTCCTTTTGGGGCAGGATTTCTTTTCCAGGTGAAATAGTCCCAGATTATTTTTTACAAAACATAAAGACATTTTTTTAAAAATGAAGAAATTACTCATAAAAACCATATACTCACTTGAGATTTTTTGGGCCCAACCAAATTTAAAGTGGATGAAGAGTACATAAAATATAAGTCCACTAAAAATAAACAGGACGCAGTACAAATAGGGCAGCTCAGGGGCGGTGATAATGGGCGCCAGGACCAGGACGATGGCAACAAGCATCACGATAATGGGGATGATAAGAGGCACCTGCAGCACAGAAGAGCAACAAGGTGAGATTTCAGGATGATGTACACACCGAACAAGCTCCAGATGTGAATGCTGTACGTAGGGGGGAAAAAGTAGAATACCTGCACTGAATGAGTAAAACAAATAACGCAGGAATTGTAGTCCTTGGTTTTTGCTGGAGTTTGGGTCCAAGACTTCTCATGGATATATACTCAAATTTATATACAATGGTGTCCCTTATATAAAGTGGTAAAATCTTTTGGAAAAAATGGCTATTCAGAACTTTTTGGAAAAACCAGAGACCTCAAAGGCTTTTGGAAGCGTAATCCTTCCAGAGATTGAGTGTTGCTCTTTATTTACTGTCCTGATAGCCAGATTTTGTTCATTTTCATGGTTTCCTCCTCACTGTTGAAATTGTCCACATGCTTGTGGATTGCAATGGCTTCTCTATGTAGTCTGACATGGTAGTAAGAGCAACACCCAAAAGCAGGGGAATTCCAGACAAGAATCAATCTGGGCCAGCTAACATCTCCCAACAAAGGATTCCCCCAGGCAGCAACCAGCCAGGCTTTGAAGCTGCAAGGCTATTAAATGCCAATTAAGGTGGCCATTTGCAACATTCACACTTGCCTCCAACGGACAAGAGATCTTTCTCCCACCCTGGATATTCCACAGATATAAAAACCTCACTTGCCGAGATTCCAACAGACCCCTCAACCTCTGAGGATGTTTGGAGGTGAGGTCTTGCAAGAGGAGTTAAGAGGACTGAAATCGACACACAGAAGGTCTGCCAAGTGTCTGTTGCTTACCATTCAGAGCAGGCCTGGGCCAACTTGGGCCCTCTCTCCAGGTGTTTTGGACTGCAACACCAACACTTACTAAATCGATCGACCCAAAATTAAGGGGGATGTATATTCCCTAATTTTAGCCAATTTTCCTTCCCATCAATCTGCAAATTAAGCCCATGGCCAAATACAAAACAAACCATCTTGAATGTATTGTCAAAGGCTTTCATTGTCGGAATTACTGGCTTGTAAGTTTTTCTGGCTGTATGGCCATGTTCCAGAAGCATTCTCTCCTGACATTTTGCCTGTATCTATGGCAGGCATCCTCAGAGGTTGTGAGGACAAAATGTCAGGAGAGAATGCTTCTGGAGCATGGCTATACAGCCCGAAAAACTTACCAAAACCCAAATTGTATTTAAATGGAAGATATGCATATGAGGAAAACCATGTGGTAGGAATTAAAACTGTAGAAGAGTTGGAAAAGAACATAAGTTGTTGCAAGGAGGAGGAAGGCAAATAGGATAACTGTAAAGAAACCTGAATACAATGTGTTGTCAAAGACTTTCATGGCCGGAAACACTGGCTTGTTGTGAGTTTTCCAGGCTCTCGGGCTATGTTCCAGAAGCATTGTCTCCTGACATTTTACCTGCATCTATGACAGGTATCCTCAGAGGTTGTGAGGATGCCTGCCATAGATGCAAGCAAAACATCAGGAGAGAATGCTTCTGGAACATGGCCATACAGCCCAGAAAACTCACAGCAACCCAAGAAAAAAAACCTATTAGAATTACTCACTACTTTCTTTAAAAAATCACTGAAGAAGTACATCACTAGCACAAGCTCAGGGGGACCCTGCCGCATAATGTTCAGCTTCTGTCTACAGAGTCAGACATTCTTTTTCATTTGGCTGCAATAGGAGGATCTCTGGGTGATGCTACAAAAACATAAACTAGATCGTACAAATGTGGATACCTACACACGCTAACCACAACTCTGGCTAGAACCAGAACAGACACATCCTGTGTTAGGATTGGCAAAGCAGGTATGTTATATAGGATAGTCTGCATAAAAGAGCAAGGAAAGGTATAAAATGGATCTTGGGACTATGACCATTCACCAACTCTAAAGCCTGGGGTAAATCATACAGGAATATGTTGTACAAAAGAGATGCCAGCATGAAGCCCTGCTTGACCCCATGTGTTGCACTAATTCTAGAATCCTGTGTTAGGAGTAATAGCAGTAGTAGCTCTGTGAACAAAGAAACTGCAAGAATATCCTGCAAACTGGTGAAAGAACTGAATGCCACATATCCCTTGCCCTCACCCTTTGCTTCTACAACACTGGAATTGAAAGGGATGAGACTAATAGAACGTTGCTATGGATCAACTCAGCTGCCTACATTTTGGAATGTGTCTTTGCTGACGGAGACTATCTTGATGGATATCGTTTAAATTGAGGTTTGCAGCGCTGTACAGTACTTACACGGATAGGCCTCTCTTTCTCTTTCCTAGTAAAACGCATGACAATAAGTCCTGCTATCGTTAAGCCATAGAACAGCCAAACGGCAAAGCTGAAGTAGTTGATGAGTGTATTGATGTCTCCTGGGATGATATAAATAATAGCCACACCACCCTAGAAGAGAAAAGAAGATGGATTATGGAGCAAGACTCAATGTACAGTAGAGTCTTGCTTATCTGACCTTCACTTATCCGACATTCCATCTTATCCGACACCCCCTTTTCCTCCAACATTTCCCCTTCAATTAAAGGAGCGCTCCCCAACTCTCTTTCCATTCCCAGTAAGTGAAAAAAGGCAAGACGAAGTGGAGGAGGGAGGGAGGAAAGAGGGAAAAGAGGCAGGACTGGAAGTGGAAGCATCCCCCCTCCTTCCCTCTCTGATTTCTACGCTCCTTATAACGAATCACACCCGCTGTACCCACCAAATTATAACGATCACACAGAGACCTACCAAATTATAACAATGACACCACTACAGATTAGCTCACCAAAAATATAAAGGGAGAATAGTTGTTGAACCAACAGAATATTTAAAAGCTAGGAACTGGGAACCATTGGAACTGTGAGACTTAAAAGAATTTATTGTTGAAGGCTTTCATGGCTGGAATCACTAGGTTCTTGTGGGTTTTTTTGAGCTATAGGGCCATATTCTAGAGGCATTTCTCCTGACGTTTCGCCTGCACCTATGGCAAGCATCCTCAGAGGTAGTGAGGTCTGTTGGAATTAGGACAATGGGTTTATATATCTGTGGAATGGCTGGGGTGGGGCAAAGAGCTTTTCTCTGCTGGAGCTAAGTGTGAATGTTTCAACTGACTACCTTCATTAGCATTTGAAGGCCTGGCTCTTTTGTTGAGAGGTGTTAAGATGTGCCTGGTTGTTTCCTCTCTGCTGTTTTGCTGTTGTAATTTTAGAGTTTTTTAATACTGGTAGCCAGATTTTGTTCATTTTCATGGTCTCTTCCTTTCTGTTGAAATTGTCCACATGCTTGTGGATTTCAATGGCTTCTCTGTGTAGTCTGACATGGTGGTTGTTGGTGTGGTCCAGCATTTCTGTGTTCTCAAATAATATGCTGTGTCCAGGCTGGTTCATCAGGTGCTCTGCTATGGCTGACTTCTCTAGTTGAAGTAGTCTGCAGTGCCTTTCAACACCTCTCAACAAAAGATTTTCCCAGGCTCAGCCAGGCCTTCAAATGCTAATGAAGGTGGTCAGTTGAAATATTCACACCTAGCTCCAACAGAGAAAAGCTCTTTGCCCCACCCCAGCCATTACACAGATATATAAACCCATTGTCCTATTTCCAACAGACCTCACTACCTCTGAGGATGCTTGCCATAGATGCAGGTGAAACGTCAGGAGAAATGCCTCTAGAACATGGTCCTATAGCCCAAAAAAACCCCACAAGAACCTTAAAAGAATTATTTAAAAGGTTTCCGCTGTCTCCATATTACTACTGAACAGGCTGAGGTACTGATTGTTCTGTGACCCACACTGTGTCACAATAGGTTTCCTAGAGGCTGTTATAAAGCTGACTTGAATAATACTTTTACCACAAAGGTATTTCCACTGAGGCTGGTATAAGTTGGTAAAAATAACAAGAACTTTTATTGAACTGACTTGGATATTTCAGGTACAAATGCTTGATGGTTTCAGTAAAAATCTGGCATACAAAGCTTGTGGTTACGTTTGAGAAGAGATCTTAAAAACTTCAAGGTTACAAGTCTTAAAGTTTCTACACAGAAAATTACTTCAGGAAATGAATCTCTTAAAGCAACTCCCACAAAAATCCCCCTTAGGAAACTAGCCAAAACATGAACTAACCTTCCTTAAGGAAAAGAACACACCACTAACAGGGTTCTGCTCCCACACAGTATTCTAGCTATACTTCTCTATAGCTTTCCTGAATACTAAACAAAAGACTGACCCAAAGTCCTTCTTCAAAAACCCAAACTGCTCTCATTAACACCCTTCCCGAGCTCCCACTCCAAACCCCCAACTCTCAACTCTGAACTCTCAATCTGAGAACTCAAGCCCCAGTTTAAAAGTCACTTTTTTCCTCCAGATCACCTAGGCTCCGCTCCCATCGTTCTAACCAATCCTAGTAGTCTAACTTTCCCTCCAAGACTGCAAGTTCAGCAGCTCAGTGGTTTAACTTGCTGTGTCACCAGGGGACTTAGGACGTAACTATTAGGTGTTCACATGTATGATAGGAGCACCCTCAATAACTGAATTCCCTTGAAGCCCACCTTAGCAGAACTCTGTCCCTTGGTGGATATGAAGGTGGGCTCCAGGGGTCAGATGACACTGTGTTGAGATCGCATTTACATGTCTGATGCAAGATTGCAGCCATGCTCCTTTTTATACAAAAAGATCTGACTTCAACGCTTTGGATATCATACTTACATAAAACAGGATAGCGGGTGCTGGAGTTAACCGCTTAATGCTGATGTAAGATAGCACCTTGAGCATGTGTCCTTCGCGACCGGCCACATAGACAAGCCTGGGGGAGGAGGGGAGGGCAAATGGAGACACTGTCAAATGGTGAAATCCAATGAAAAAGGGGACAACAAATGATTCACCTGGGCTCCATCAACACTGCCATCTAAAATCCAGATTATCTGATTTGAAGTAGATTATATGGCAGTGTAGACTCATATCATCCAGTTCAAAGAAGATAATCTGGATTATCTGCTTTGATAATCTGAGGATTTTTTTTGTCATGTCAGGAGCAACTTGAGAAACTGCAAGTCGCTTCTAGTGTGAGAGAATTGGCCGTCTGCAAGGACGTTGCCCAGGGGACGCCCGGATGATATGATGTTTTTTATCATCCTTGTGGGAGGCTTCTCTCATGTCACCACATGAGGAGCTGGAGCAGATAGAGGGAGCTCATCCACCTCTCCCCAGATTCGAATCTGCAACCTGTCGGTCTTCAGGGCTTTAACCCACTGCGCCACTGGGGCCTCCGATAATCTGGATTATCTGCTTTGATGATTTTCTGAGTCATCTGATTTGATGATCTGGATTATATGGCAGTGCAGAAGGCGGCAAAAGAAAGAACATGAGCAGGAGGAATAAGAAAAGCCATGTGTGTTAAAATGTCTCTTCTGCACAATTGTTAAAGCATGGAAGGGCAACACGTGGCCTTCAGAATGCTGGTGGACTGCCGTTCCCATCATTCCTTGCTCATTGGCAATGCTAGTAAGGACTGATAGGAGATGGAGGGGTCATAAATTGCTTTCCAGATATTAAATGCTAGAGAGTATTAACATTATATTGTCAAAGGCTTTCACAGCTGGAATCACTGGGGTGTTGTGTGGTTTCTGGGCTATGTGGCCAATGTGTTCTAACAGCATTTTCTCCTTTCGTTTTGCTGCATCTGTGGCTACTGGCATCTTCAGAGGATCTGATGGTAGTCAATTGAGTAGAGTGTGCGTGTGTTTGTATACACACATACACACACACACACACAGAATAATGTCCAGGGAGGGAGAGAGAACCAATGTATATTAACCAAGTGTGAAGGGTGCAATTAGCAAGCCTGATTTGCAAGCGTTTGCATGGGATCCACCCATTAGCATGTGAGTTGCCGAGAAGATTGCATAGTCAATAGTAAGGGCATCTGCTTAGAAGTAGCCTGGACTTCGTTCTCTTTGAATTGTTTGCTGCCTGGAGACATCCTTCGCCTGGGTGGTGTTCACTGACCCTTGATTGCTCACTGCCTGGGGGCTTCTTGCGTCTGGGTGGCATTCACTAGTCACTGTCTTGATTCTGGTATTTCTCAGTACTGGTAAATGAACAGAATCTAGCTTTGAAAAATTAGGTAGAAGTTTTTTTTAAAAAAATTCCATATTTCTGTGTATGAAACTGTCGTGGCGCATTGCTAGAAACCATACATTTTCACTTGCAGAAACGTGAACTGGGGTTCCACACGGGGTCGTTTAGGGTTTTACCTTCCAGCAGTGAAACAAGTCCCGTTGGCTGCTCCGATGGTGGAAAAAGCCACAAAGAGAGGAACGATCCAAGAAGCAGGATACAGAACTCTGTCTCCAAAGGTCTGTGTGGAAGAAATGGAAATAATGCGGTATTTAGAGAGAGAGTAATGTCAAAATCACCGTATCAGCCTGGGTCTGGCTGTTTTGGTTCTCTGCCATAAATAAGAGAGGTGGTGTGGATAAGACATCTGTTTTGAAACTGCAGTTAACAAACTGTGGGCAGAGTGTTTGGCCACTAGGGGGCGGGTGGGAGTTGGGGCTGATCTATACAGGATGTTTGAGTGGGAAACTTTAGAACTGTCTTTTTAGGTTTGTGGAAAGAATAAACCACTTGTCTCTATAATAATAATAAATAATAAACTTTCTTTATACCCCGCCACCATCTCCCCAACGGGGACTCGGGGCAGCTTACATGAGGCCAAGCCCAAACAACAAATTACAATAAAATAAGATACAAGTTACACTAAAATAAACAACATCGCAGTAAAACACAGAACATATGACTACAATAAACAAAATGCAAAAAAAAGTAAACCAAATGTAATGACAATGAGTGGGCCGCATGTACATAAAATGATTTTAAAACCTCAGAGTGAGATAAAGGAGCAGAATTATTTGTGGGTGAGAACCCGTAGAGCAGTGGTTCTCAACCTTCCTAATGCCGTGACCCCTTAATCCGCTTCCTCATGTTGTGGTGACCCCCAACCATAAAATTAGTTCCATTGCTACTTCATAACTGTCATTTTGCTGCCGTTATAAATCATAATGTAAATATCTGATATGCAGGATGTATTTTATTCACTGGACCAAATTTGGCACAAATACCCAATACACCCAAATTTGAATACCGGTGGGATTGGGGGAGGGTATTGATTTTGTCCTCTGGGAGTTGTAGTTGCTGGGATTTATAGTTCACCTACAATCAGAGAGCATTCTGAACTCCACCAATGGTGGAATTGAATCAAACTTGGCACACAGGACATCCATGACCAACAGAAACCACTAGAAGGGTTTGGTGGGCATTGACCTTGAGTTTCGGAGTTGTAGTTCACCTACATCCAGAGATCACTGTGGACTCAAACAATGATGGATCTGTACCAAACTCTACATGAATACTCAATATGCCCAAATGTAAACACTGATGGAGTTTGGGGAAAATAGAATCTTGACATTTGGGAATTGTAGTTGCTGGGATTTATAGTTCACCTACAATCATAGAGCATTCTGAACCTTACCAACTATTAAATTGGGCCAAGAACCTCCATAACCAACAGAAAATACTGTGTTTTCTGGTGGTCTTTGGCGGCCCCTCTGACACCCCCTCGCGACCCCCTCAGGGGTCCCGACCCCCAGGTTGAGAAACACTGCCGTAGAGAGATAGGGTGATAGACTGACCTTCGTACAAGGAGGGGGCGGGTGAACTCCTAGGATAAAAACGTTGAGGGGAGCAATAGGTTAAGAATATGTAACTACTCTCCAAAAGCGTTTTATTGTTGTGAGCTTGATTTTAACTCCAAAATCGTCCAGAGTCTGACAGAGTAAAATAAAGACACCTTATTAAGAATATCTGATTTGCTTCTCTAAAAAGACATGTAACTTTTATACAGGAATACCATATATACTCAAGTATTCCTATGTTATCCAAAGCATGTCTGTCTATCTATCTATCTATCTATCTATCTATCTATCTATCTATCTATCTATTTATCTATCTATCTGGAGTTATACTTAAATCTATTCATGAGTCCACGTGCCCACATGATCCTCAAGACTGGAGTCTCACCACGGCCACAGCTTGCGACTGCAGAAGTTCTGTCGACGTCATGACCGTGAAATAGGAAACATTGATCAGGATGTAGCAAATGGTGACCAGCGGTATTCCAATAATGATAGACAGTGGCAGGTTTCTAAATAAGATAAAAAGAGGAGAACATAAAGATAACTCAATTGTAAAACAGGGTGGGGTAATAGTTGAAAGTGCTGGACTATGACTCTGGAGACCAAGGCTCAAATTCCAACTCACAATGACAAATCGCTTCTGAACAAATGCAGCTAGGAAAACCCCTGACAGGTTCACCTTAGGGTTGCCTCAAGGACCGGAAGGCATATATCAACAATAGAGGAAAACATTGCTGCATGATAATGTTGTTGAACACAGCACACACCCCCAACTCAATTATTTATAGTTTGCTAAGGGCACCAGAATAAAACAAATGATTTTCTTTCTCTTCTCTGCTGAACTTCTGTGGCTCCAGCAAAGAGGGAGACCAGCAGACTGACCAGAAGCCACAACCCCCTTTAAAGTTCATTTTTAATGGTTATATTCCTTTTATTATTAAGTTCTAATACATATCAGCACACGTGTGGACCAGATCTGCAACAGCAAATCTCATACAAAGACACTATCCTTTTCCAAACGTTCTCTCAGCCAATCCGGGGAGGAAGCAGGAAGCTTGAATGGAAACTGAACTGCTTAAAAATCCATTCTGTCTGTATTCATGTTCATGTATGTACATTTTGGCACTATTACTATTATATTTATTTGCAGGCGAAACGTCAGGAGAGAATGCTTCCAGAACATGGCCATATAGCCCAAAACACCTACAACAACCCAATTCCCAGAATAGTTTCAACACTGACATGGCAGCAACTAATTTCCATTACATTCACATAGAATTTCCTTAAAAGAAAAACTGATCCCAAATGCCACCAACCCCCCCACCCCCACACACACCAATGCATCTTAAGGTAGCATTTTCACACAGGAAGTGACTTGCAAGCTAACTTCTGGTTTACTTCCTGTTCATATTTATTTATTTATTTATTTATTTATTTATTTATTTATTTCATTTATATACCACTTTTATCATCCCTGGGGGGACTCAAAGCAGTTTCCAGCATATTCACGGAAAAATTTAATGCCTCACAAAACATGAAAACCTAACATAAAACAGTAGCATAAAACTATCAATTAAATCATAAAACGTAAATACATTTAAACATTAAAACAAGGAATTACAAACATATTAAAATAAACAGTAAAATCACATAATCCAAAAGCATGGTCCAGGCCATTCCAGTATCAAATAACTGTAACAACTGGATATAATCCGTGTTCGTTTCATATCCTGCTTGCTGTCCAAATGCTTGGTCCCACAGCCATGTTTTTGCTTTTTTTCTGAAGGTCAAGAGGAAGGGCACTTATCTAATTTCATTGGGGACGAAGTTTGAAAGACGAGGGGCCACCACTGAGAAGGCCCTGTCTCTTGTCCCCACCAGTCACACCTGCAAAGAAGGTGGGACTGAGAGCAGGGCCTCCCCGGACAATTTTGGCCTTTGAGATGGTTCATAGAGGGAGATATGTTTGGACAGGTAAGCTGACCCGGGACCATTTAGGGCATTATAGGCTAAAGCCAGCATTTTGAATTCTGCTTGGTAGCAGACTGGCAGCACGTGGAGCTGGTGTAACAGGGGGATTGTGTGCATCCTATACCTCGCTCTGGTGAGCAATCTGGCTGCTGCCCATTGGACCATTTGAAGCTTCCGAACATAGAGCGCATTGCAGTAGTCTACTGAGGATGAAACTAGAGCATGGACTACCGTGGCCAAGTCTGACTTCCCAAGCATAGAAAGTCTGGGGGAAAAGGTCAAATAGCCTCCATGTTCCCTAGGGGACATTTAGGGTAGGGGAACTTTTTTTAATTAAAATAATTTGGGGGGAGGGGAAAGTAAACTTTCCCAATCCCTGTTTTAAACAAACAATATTGCAGGCTTTAGCACTTTAATTCAATCCACACAATGTGCAGCTAACAGCCTACATTGCATTTTGCTCACCTATAAGGATCTTTAAGCTCTTCCGTAATATAATTGAGTTGATTCCTGGAAGAAAAGAAGCACCTTAACAAGGCTATTTTCCCCATGAAACACTGAATTTGCAAGAAAACTCCATTCAATCCAATGGGATTTATTTTTAAATAACCATGCATTGATTGGTCTGCTAGGTTGCAACTGCTGGTGGTTATGAGAACATAGTTACCCTGCCTGAGAACATAGTTACTCTGCCTGAGAACTGTGTGAGGGAACAATATGTTCCTACAGTGGCTTCTGGGAAGCACAAGACAAGAAAATTCACATTCTTTTGTGAAGAAGAAGAAGAAGAGGAGGAGGAAGAGGAGGAGGAAAAGGAGGAAGAAGTAGAGGTGGGGAGGAAGAAGGAGGAAGAAGAGAAAGAAGAAGAGGAGGAGGGGGAAGAAGAAGAAGAGGGAAGAGAAAGAGAATGAAGAAGAGGAGGAGGATGAAGAGGAGGTGGAAGAAGAGGAGAAAGAAGAGAAAGAAGGATGAAGAAGAAGAGGAAGCAGAAGAGGAGGAAGAGAAGGTGGGGGAAGAGGAGGAGGATGAAGAAGAGGAAGAAGAGGAGGAAGAAGAGAAGGAGGATGAAGAAGAAGAGAAAGCAGAAGCGGAAGAAGGGGAGGAAGAGGAGGAAGATGATGAGAAAGAGAAAGAGAATGAAGAAGAAGAAAAGAAGGAGGATGAAGAAGAGATGGAGAAAGAGGAGGAAGAAGAAGAGGAAGCAGAAGAAGAGGAGGAGGAAAAGGAGGTGGTGGAGGAGGAGGAAGTGGAAGAAGAGGAGAATGAAGAAGAAGACGATGAAGAGGAGGAGGAGGAAGAACAAGAAGGAGGAAGAAGAAGAGGAAGCAGAAGAAGAGGAGGAAGAAAAGAAGGTGGAGGAGGAGGAGGAGGAAGAAGAGGAGGAGAATGAAGAAGAAGAAGAAAAAGAAGAYGAGGAYGAGGAGGAGGWGGAGGAGGAYGAAYAAYAAGAAGAYGAGGAGGAAGAAGAAGAAGAAGAAGAAGAGAATAATGAAGAAGAGAATAATGAAGAAGAGGAGGAGGAGGAGGAGGAGAAAGAATAATATTTATATCCCACTTTATCTCTCCCAAAGGAGACTTAAAGCCTGTCCCACAGTAAATGATACTGGCGACAAAATAGGTACAAACCAACCATCATCGTGATAACGATTGAGTTACTTCTCCATGACTCGACATACCCTGAACTTCAGTGGTGGATGATTTATAAAATTTATACCTATTATTAGTTTCTTCGATTGCTTTGACTGACAACTTTTGGAAACAGGTAAGGAAAGCTGTATGCAATTAACGAAACAAAGATTTCATTCTTACAAGATTCAAATCAGCCATAAATCGTTATACTTTAACTTCAAACGACAACAATAAAAAATAAATGCATTACCATCCGTCATATGCCCAGAGCCCATTATAAAACGCCAGGCAGATGAGACCCACAGAAAGCGGGGGGCCATCAAACGAATTTTGAAAATTTTGAGTGTTTCCTGCAAAACAAACATTTCATACCTCTGACAAACTTGACGCGGATCCACTACACTGTCCTCATAATAAATCTATTAGTATATCTACATTAATTCCACATGACAGTTTGTGTTTTAATACCAATCTTACACCATTGATTGTCAAAATTGACAGGTATATTTTGGGGTTTCTGGAATCCCCCTGAGAATCCCCCAGGAAGCACTGGACGGGGTCAAGCTCTCTAGAGGAGTGGTTCTCAACCTGTGGATCCCCAGGTGACTTCAGCTCCCACAAATTTCTAACAGCTGGTAAACTGGCTGGGATTTCTGGGAGTTGTAGGCCAAGACACCTGAGGACCCACAGGTGGAGAACCACTGCTCGAGAGGATCCTGTTGGAATTCAACCTGTGATTGTGTTTCAGGATCAGGGTGCTTTGGATGTGGGAAGTGATGTCAATGAGTTTCAAGATGGCAATGGTTTGGCCAATGATACTGATGGAGAGAATGACCAGGAGATCCCTGTTCAAAGTGTAGTTTCCCATGAGAATGTCCCTGAGGGGTGCGGGGATGATGATGTGCTCCCTGAATTGTTACCAGAGTTTTCCCATGATAGGGAACATGAAAACAGCTCAGCACCTGGCCCAGCTGCAGAAATTAATGAGCAAATCAGTGTTTCTCAACCTTCCTAATGCCGCAACCCCTTAATACAGTTCCTTGTGCTGRGTTGACCCCCAACCATAACATTATTTTCCTTGCTACTTCATAACTGTAATTTTGCTACTGTTGTGAATTGCAATGTAAATATCTGATATTCAGGATGTATTTTCATTCACTGGACCAAATTTGGCACAAATARCCATTAAGCCCATCRCCATCAGTATCCAAATTTGGGCATATCGGGTATTTGTGCCAAATTTGGATACTGATGGGGATGGGGGGATTGATTTTGTTCTTTGGGAGTTGTAGTTGCTGGGGTTTACAGTTAACCTACAATCAAAGAGCATTTCAAACTCCACSAACAATGAAATTGAACCAAACTTGGCACACAGAACTCCCATGACCAACAGAAAATACTCAAAGGGTTGGTGGACATTGATCTTGAGTTTGGGAGTTGTAGTTCACCTACATCCAGAGAGCACTGTGGACTCAAACCATGATGGATTGTTTGTGTCCACAAACTTGGCACGAATCCTTAACATGCCCACATGTGTACACTGGTGGAGTTTGGGGAAAATAGACCTTGATATTTGTGAGTTGTAGTTGCAGGGATTTATAGTTCACCTACAATCAAAGAGCATTCTGAACCTCACCAACAACAGAATTGGGCCAAACTTCCCACACAGAACCCACCATGACGAATGGAAAATACTTTCTGATGGTTTTTGGCGACCCCTCTGACAACCCCTCACGACCCCCCCCCAGGGGTTCAGACTCCCAGGTTGAGAAACACTGAAATAGATAGACGGGAGGAGATCAGTCAAGACAGGAGAGCCGAACAGTGGCTTCGGCGTTCTGCCAGGCTTTGAGAGAAAAAGATAAGAAATTATCAGCTAAAGCGAAACCAATTTCTGAGACATAGCTAACAAGGAGATAAAAGTCCCAAATACAAGATACGTAGTCAGATGAAGCATTGTTTGGAATCAAGTCAAGATCTCATCCTTGTTTCATGGAAGCTTTGCTTGGAAAATTAATGTTTCAAGTGCGTTTGTTTCATGGTTTTGATTCTTGGATTCTATGCTTTTATATTCATGCCTTGGATTCATGTTTCCTGACTTCTTGCATTTTATTTGGGAAGTTTTGACTTTGTTTTTATGGACTTTGCTGGACTATTACCTTGGACTACTTTGTTCCTGCTTATCTTCCTACCTAATTGGATTTACCTATTTCTTTAAAGTGCTTTTTTACTTTAGTGTTTTTTAATTATCTTAAATAAAAGGATTGTTTTCCTATCCAACGGTGTGGTGTTTAAAGTTTCCTGTCCTGGAGTGCAACAGATCCTGTAGTTTTGTAATATTTAAAAAGTAACTTTTTCGAGCTCTCAGCTTTTCACATAGCAAATTTTTTCTAAAGTCATTCTTTGGGTGCCCAAAGAATGAGCGGCCTTTGTTGTGCTGTGTCATCTGAAATGAAGAATGAACCTACCTTTAGCAAGTAGAACAATGCCACTTATAATGATAATGACAACGATCACCATTTTAGCAGCAGTGAGGACATTCTGCAGGTAGCTGGCCAGCTTCACACTCAGCGCATTCACGGTTGTAATAGTCACTAAAGGAGGAGACAAAAAAAAACTCATAAGAAATGGCTGAAAGCACAACATTGATTGAAGACCCATCAACTTTCAGTCATGAGTTCTGATTTACATTCGATTGCTACTATTTGTCAGTTCTGTATATCTGTGTTTGACATTTGGGAGTTGTAATTGCTAGGATTTATAGTTCACCTACAATCAAAGAGCTTTCTGAACTCCACCAACGATGGAATTGAACCAAATTTGACACACAGAACTCTGATGACCAACAGAAAATACTGGAAGGGTTTGGTGGGCATTGACCTTGCGTTTTGGAGTTGTAGTTCACCTACATCCAGAGAGCACTGTGGATTTGAGCAATGATAGATCTGGACCAAACTTGGCACAAATATTCTATATGGCTAAATGTGAACACTGGTGGATTTTGGGGGAAATAGACCTTGACATTTGGGAATTATAGTTGCTGGGATTTATAGTTCACTTACAATCAAAGAACATTCTGGACTCCACCAACGATGGAATTGAACACACACAGAGAACTCCCATAACCAACAGAAAATACTGGAAGGGTTTGGTGAGCATTGACCTTGAGTTTTGGAATTGTAGTTCACCTATATACAGAGAGGAGGAGGAGGGCTTTTGGTTGGATGATACGCCCGCTGTTTCCAAAAAGGATTAGAAGGATAGGCGGAGAGATCTTCAGCCTTCTCTGCCAAAGGGTACCTAAGACCATCAGAAATATGTGTTTTCCAATGGTCTCTGGTGACCCCTCTGAAACCCCCTCATGATTCCCCCCCCCCCCCAGGGGTCCCAACCCCAAGGTTGAGAAACGCAGTTGTGTGACATTTGGCTTGAATTTGAATTTGGCTTGGGTTAATGGTCTTGATGTCCTGGCAATGATGCATTTATTTTACATCTCTCGACACTGAGACCTGATGTGTTTGTGTGGGACTGTCTCCCTCTTCTCTGGAGCTAGCCATTGACCATAACACAGTGAACTTGAACTTGACTCAAGGCTGAACACATCCATTCCCAACTAGAATGCTTCTAATATGAAACTAAGCTACAAATCTAAAGGTATTCTATTTGTCTGAATGTTTTTCCATTTGTTAATTGGAAATACAATATTTCCGCTAATTGTTTATCCTAATCCAAAGCCAAATACTTACCGATCGCTACAGCTGCCAGACACTTGATAACAATGATGGGAGGGTCGCATCCCGGATAAAACGGAGCCGAGACGTATTCTGCAAAGCTGAGGCAGATGATGGCAAAAGAAGAAGGCTTGATGACAATGAGGCTTGCCCAGGAAAACAAATATGCAGGAATTGGGCCAAATGCTTCCATCAGGTAAGGATATTCCCCTCCTGATTTTGTTATCATCGTGCCAAGTTCGGCAAAGCATAGTGCTCCTGAAGGAACAAGAAATTGAGGTTTGTAAAAGACATTAAGTGATATGTGTAGTTATTTATTATTGGTGGTGCAACAGGTTAAACCGTTGAACTGTTGAATCTGCTGACCTAAAGGTTGGCAGTTCGAAGTCGTGAGTTGGGGTGAGCTCCCACTGGTAGCCCTAGCTCCTGCCAACCTAGCAGTTCAAAAGCATGCAAATGTGAGTAGATCAATAGGAACCGTTCTGATTTTTTTTTTGTCGTGTCAGGAGCGACCTGAGAAACTGCAAGTCTCTTCTGGTGTGAGAGAATTGGCCGTCTGCAAGGACGTTGCCCGGGGGGACGCACGGATGATTTGATGTTTTATCATCCTTGTGGGAGGCTTCTCTCATGTCCCTGCATGAGGAGCTGGAGCTGATAGAGGGAGCTCATGGACGATGAAAGCAACAGCTTCCCTGGCAGCCAGAAAAAGTTAAATAGCCTCTGTGTATGTCTGTATATGTTTGTATGTCAAAAATTGGCATTGAATGTTTGCCATATATATGTACACTGTAATCCGCCCTGAGTCCCCTGCGGGGTGAGAAGAGCAGAATATAAAAGCTGTAAGTAATAATAATAATAATAATAATAATAATAATAATAATAATGGTTAGTTACCTAGCGTAGCAAGTACTCCACAGGCTGCCCAGATGACTAGACAAGGTCCAACAGCTCCAACATTGGCTAGAACCGCCTTGGGAGAGATAAAGATCCCTGAACCTATTACGGTCCCAACAATGACACAGATGCCGCTGATGAGACCCACCTTGGAAAGGAAAGGAAAAGAAAGAGAGTAAATCTGAGAGTGGTTTGGTATCAAATATTTCACATACAATGCAATTACAACATGGTCAGGGAGGTGGAAGGTAAGGATTGTTGGGCGAGTGGGCTTATTAACAAAAGACGCTCCTCATAAATGTAACTTATTAGCAGCAGTATGACCCAGCACCAATAGCCAAAAGTGATAAAAAGAACAAAAACACAGAGAACAATGTTATCTCTTCCTTAGGAGGCTTTTCTTGAAAGCAAAATAATATGGTTGCACTATTTACATGAACAAGGTTTCCATAACACTTTTTTTCCATGTCAAGAGTGACTTGAGAAACTACATTTATCTCATACCAGAAGCAACTTGCAGTTAACACAAATAAAGTTCTTTATGCTTCCTTCTTTGCTTCCACGCTGGGCTTCTTTCTCATATAGAAAACAGTTTCGCTCTCACAGAGCTTCCTCTCACTTACACACAACATGCAGGAGATTTACACATGAGGTCTTCAATTTAGGGCTTCTCTCATCGAAGTCTTCTCACACCAGGCCTTTCACACACTGAGGCCTTTCACACACTATTACTAACTCTGAGGCCTACCTCACACTGAGGCCTACTAAGACTGAGGTGTTCTCATACTGAGGCCTCTCATAGACTGAAGCCTCTTCATACTCAGGGCAAATAACACTGAGGCGTACTAAGTTAAAGGCACACCTACTTATATTGAACTGCAGCATTTGCTGAGTCCTTGCATCCATTTAACCCTTACAGAGCTTGACTTAATAATAATAATAATAATAATAATAATAATAATAATAATAATAACACTTTATTTGTGCCCCGCTACCATCTCCCCAAGGGACTCGGTGCGGCTTACATGGGGCCGAGCCCAAATACAACAATACAAGCAATAAAACAACAATACAAGCAATTAAAATAAAAACATAAACAATAAAATATGCAACATTATTAATAAGACAACACACAATTAAAAACAGTGGGAAGGCCAAATGTAAAATTTGTAATTTTATATTTTTGTAATTAAAAATACCTAGTTAATGTTTAATATTTCTGACAAGCATTACAATTTAGACAGTTACAATTTAAAAGCAATTTATTCTTTTTACTCATAATATTTGAAAGGCTATGTCTTGCAATTAAACATTATTATTGTAGATCAGACATGGCCTGACTTTGGCTCTCACTCCAGGTGAGGACTTCAACTCCCACAATTCCTAACAGCATTCCAGACAGCTGATGTTGGCTCGTGCCTGTTGCCGATGCTGTTTATCCGGGCTTTATCAATTGCTTTCTAATTATTTCTCGATGACGGGATTTCAGCATTGATAAAGTGGCATGAGGCTGAAAAACATTTCTGATAAAAATTTCTTGCAAAAGCTAACTTTTAATAGCAGTTATAAAATTTACTTGCAGCATCAAAAAAACCAACTTCATTTTTTAAAGTTACTTTTAAAAACCCTTGTTATCAAAACTCCTATAACTCCCGAGTGCCGTCACTTCTATATTAATCTGGAGAGTACCAGGGATTAGCATAGGATCCTGCAGGTAGGTGACTTGACTACAGTCTTCCTGTTAGGGATTCCTCATCTTCGGAGGAGGAAGGGGAGCAGGGAAGTGCTCAGGAATTGGAGGGAGAAGAAGAATCAGATGATGAGGGTTTGAAAGTGCCCACATTTCTAGAGAGACAGAGCACAGACGGCTTTCAGCTAGGATAGGTGCTAAAAACGCTGAGCTAATTGGGAGACGCCCTGGCACCTCCTGCATAGGGAATTCAGGGCTATAAATCAGTAGCAGGAGCAGTCAGCTTTCATTGGTAACAATGACCCTGATACTGATGTTTTCACTCCAATGGAAGCTGCTTTGTGTCTGCTGCTAAGAACTTAGTTCATCATCTGTTGTCTGATGGAAAATTGGTGTTTCTTTTGGGACTTCGTAAAATACTTTTATTTGTGTTTGGATTAAGACTTCCTTGTTTTCTTTTGCACTTTTCAATTGCATTTGCTTATCCTTTGTGTTTGCTGAAGTAAAGCATTTTTCTTTTACTTTCAACATTTTCTAAAGGCTGTTTTTGAAGGGCAACTCAGGACACTTCCCTGAGTTGTTGTGTGTTTTCAAAGCTGTATGGCCATGTTCCAGAAGCATTCTCTCCTGATGTTTCGCTTGCATCTATGTCAGGCACCCTCAGAGGATGCCTGCCATAGATGGTGAAACGTCAGGAGAGATTGCTTCTGGAACATGGCCATGCAGCCCGGAAAACACACAACAACCCAGTGATTCTGGTCGTGAAAGTCTTCAATTATACAGTCTTCCCTGCTCAGTTGTGAATGTGATGTGCTGAATTTCAACTGTTTACTTTCCACTTAAGGCAATTATTAGTAGCAGTATCAAGCAGGAAGGCTGTACATCTTCGATCATCCGGAGAGGCCCTGCTCACGCTCCCACCTCCATCGCAGGCGCGATTGGTGGGGACGAGGGAGAGGGCCTTCTCGGTGGTGGCCCCTCGACTCTGGAACTCGCTTCCCAAGGACATCCGGGATGCCCCAACTCTGGCAATCTTTAGGAGGAGCCTGAAAATGTGGTTGTTCCAGTGTGCCTTTCCAGAATAAATGAAACTCTCAGCAATATGTCCTCAAAATGTACTTTATTATTGATTTAGGATTGATTTGCATGCCCTATCCCCTCCAAAAATTTCTATCCCAGTTATCTCCTACTGTGCTCATGCCCAGCATTATTTTTAAATTTTAATTTTACATTTGGCCCAGCCATATGTTTTTAAATGCTTGTTGTGTTACTGTATTGCTTATTTTTATTTTTGCTTATGAGTTATATTTTAATTGTTTTGTATTGTTTGTTTGCAATTGCTTTATCATTGTTGTATTGTGGGCTCGGCCTTATGTAAGCCGCACCGAGTCCCTTGGGGAGATAGTAGCGGGGTACAAATAAATTATTATTATTATTATTATTATTATTACATAGAGCCAATATGAAGTTCGCACCTAGGCTTAGTCCTTATTTACAAGGAAAGTCTTTCTTCTGGTCGGCGTTCTCAGGCTCAAAGCAATTGCTTGGCAAACTAGTTTTCAAGTCAATCCTTTTCTTTTTGTCTCTGTGACTATGTTTGCTTGTTTGTTCCCGAGACCACGCTACTGAAGCGTTACTTGAGGTTTTGGAAAAGCTTTGAAACTCGGATAAACAACGTACAGTGAGAAACACTCTGTCCTCAAACACAGTCTTTTCTTTGTGTTCAGCACACAGGTAACTGCTAATTTTAAACCTGGCAAATGAGTCCGAGGAGAACACAAAAATGCAGGGCTTCTGTGCACTGCTATCATCAGGTCTAATAACAAGGCAAATGACAGCAACAACCTGTGTTACAACGCAAACATCAGCCAGGCCTTTCAGAATGTTTCATGATCTGTTTAGTAATGCATGCTTTACTAAAGGTTTTTAAAGATCTATTTTAAGAGTGCTGTGGTTTTTAACTGAATCGTCAATTGTTTATAACTGTGAATTTTTAATACTGTTTATATTGAATTCTGTTTTAATGTTTGGATATTGGTATATTTTATATTGCATGCTGCTGATGCTTTTGTGAGTCTCCTTCGGGAGAGATGAAGTGGGGTATAAATAAATATAATAATAATCATCATCATCATCATCATTATCATCAGCTCAGGAGATAACATAGCTGAACACTTTGCTTGCCTATAATGGAGCATTTGAATGGAATCATGTAAACTGTTTTTTAACAACATAGTACATATTGGGTTGCTGTGAGTTTGTCGGGCTATATGGCCATGTTCCAGAAGCATTATTTCCTGACGTTTCACCCACATCTATGGCAGGCATCCTCAGAGGTTGGGAGGTTTGTTGGAGATAAGGCAAGTGGGATGTCCAGGGTGGGAGAAAGAACTCTTGTCTGTTTGAGGCAAGTATGAATGTTGCAGTTGATCACTTTGATTAGCACTGAATAGCCATGCAGCTTCAAGGCTTGGCTGCTTTCTTCCTGGGGGAATCCTTTGTTGGGAAGTTATTAGCTGATCCCGATTGTTTCTTGTCTGAAATTACCCTGTTTTTGAGTGTTTGTTGAAGGGAATTCCAGACAAGAAACAAACCCAGTATTTCTGGATATAGGTGAACGACAACTCCAAAACTCAAAGTTAATGCTCACTAAACCCTTCCAGTATTTTCTGTTGGTTATGGGAGTTCTGTGTGCTAACTTTGGTTCAATTCCATCGTTGGTGGAGTTCAGAATGCTCTTTGATTGTAGGTGAACTATAAATCCCAGCAACTACAACTCCCAAATGACAGAATCAATCCCTCCCCCAACCCCATCAGTATTCAAATTTGGACGTATCGGGTATTTGTGCCAAATGTGCTCCAGTGAATGAAAATACATCCTGCATCTCAGATATTTACATAACAGTACCAAAATTTCAGTTGTGAAGTAGCAACGAAAATAATGTAATGGTTGGGGGACACCAAAACATGAGGAACTGTATTAAAGGGTTGCGGCATTAGGAAGGTTGAGAAAGACTGCTTTAGGTGGAAAGGAGTACTAGAGTTAGGTGTCATCTGCATATCCACGGCACCAACAACAAAACTCTGGATAACCTCTTCCAGCATTTTCATGTACAAGAATTGAATGAAAATTAATGCCTCCACCTTCGTTACTTGGGTTTGGATGGGAATATTTTAATAAATCAAACGCAGAAATAATCCTTAGAATGTGCTGTTTAACTACCAGTATTCACTTTTCCACATAATAACCAGACAATTGGATCCATTTCTGCCAACGATGAACAAGTTTTCTGAAGCCATTATGGAAGAAGTCGACACTCTGTTTTGGGTACCCATTGTGCCCAGATCTTCCGATAGCCAAGCAAAGCAATAATGTGACCCACACATTCTTGTGAAATGCTGATTATGCTTGAAATTTCTCTCTGAGTGATACGACGATTGTCCTGAATCAATCTGTCAACCTTTTGCTTGTGAAACTCGGTGGTTGCTATCACAGGAAGTCCAACTCTTTGTTTGTCACGCAAGTCAGATGTTCCCACCTCAACATCTTTAAACTTATTCGCTCAACGATGCACAGTACTCACATCAACAGCTTGCATTCTTTGATGGATCTCCTTTGGGGTGACACCTTCTTCTGTTAAGAATTCAATGACTGCATGTTGCTAAAGTCGCATTGACCGACCGTCTGTGCAGGGTTCCATATTTTGCACTTTAACAACACAACAGTTCAATGCTAAGGCTTCCTGCCAAAATGGAACTGTAGAGGAGAGTCTACTGAACAAGCCAGTACCTGCCGCATACCAGTACTGCCATCTGTTGAGGAGTTACGAAGGTGGAGGCATTACTTTTCATTCAACTTCTCCTGGGGATTTCATGTTCAGGCCATAGAATGGCTGACTGTAGTAATATCTACTCTACAGTCAGCCATTCTATGGCCTTAACATGAAATCCCCAAGAGAAGTAACCTAAATGCTTCTAGCACAGGCCTGGGCCAACTTGGACCCTCCAGGTGTTTTGGACTTCAACTCCCACAATTCCTAACAGCCTACAGGCTCTTTGGACAATAATGTAGATGTTTAAGCCACACAACTGAATGCATTTCAGACAAAATTAAACAAAGACAACAGATGACAAGAGTCTTGCCTCTTTTTGTAGGTTCATGGATTTAGATTTCTTGCTTTCGAGGGAAAGTCCATCTGGTCCTTGGTCCGAACTCCGTTTCCTGTGTCTTAAGCTTTCGTCGGCCATGATGTGATGCTGATAAACAAACCAGCTGATGGTAGTAGATCCTGAAAACAAGACAGAAGAGAAGACTTTGGCCATCATCAAGGGCTGAGCTTTTCCACCTGCCGTAGACCTCCAACCTGAGTCTGTAAATAGGTTTTGTTGGATGGCAAACGATTTAGCTTGTCTTCCAATGTATTAAACACTAGCTTGGGTACCTAGTGGTGCTCAGGCTAAATACTGTTTTCTGATGGTCTTTGGCAACCCCTCTGACACCCCCTTACTACCCCCACAGGGGTCCTGACCCCCAGAGGTTGAGAAACACTGCACTAGGACTACTAAATTTGATATGACTTGAACCAATCATACCTTAACATAACACAACACAACATACAACACATACACAACACAACATACAACACATACACAACACACACCCCACAACATACCACACCACAATAACACACCACACAACATAAAATAAAATATGTAAAAGTGAATATAACACTGAACGAAAAATGAACTATAGACCCCAGTCCCCCTCAATGGACTGCCATCAACTCTGCTGGACCGACCATGTTGTCCGGATGCCTGACCACCGTCTCCCAAAGCAGTTGCTCTACTCTGAACTCAAGGATAGAAAACAGAATGTTGGTGGGCAGGAAAAGAGATTTAAAAATGGGCTCAAAGCCAACCTTAAAAACTCTGGCATAGACACTGAGAACTGGGAAGCCCTGGCCCTTGAGCACTCCAGTTGGAGGTCAGCTGTGACCAGCAGTGCTGCATAATTTGAAGAAGCACGAATGGAGGGCGAAAGAGAGAAAGGTGCCAAGAGGAAGGTGCATCAAGTCAACCCTGACTGAGACCGCCTTCCACCTGGAAACCGATGCCCTCACTGCGGGAGACGATACAGATCAAGAATAGGGCTCCACAGTCACCTACGGACTCACCCTGGAGGATTATCTTACTCGGACAACGAGGGATCGCCTAAGTAAGTAAGTAATAAACCCCAGCAACTACAACTCCCAAATGTCAAGGTCTATTTTTCCTCCAAACTCACCAGTGCCAATTTTGGTCCAGATCCAGCATTGTTTGAGTCCACAGTGCTCTCTGGATGTAGGTGAACTACAACTCCAAAACTCAAGGTCAGTGCCCACCAAACCATCCCTGTATTTTCTGTTGGTCATGAGAGTTCTGTGTGCCAATTCCACCATTGGTAGAGGCAGAGGTGGCCCTAGGTAATTTTCAACGGTAAGCAAACAGTATTTTGCCCCCCCCCCCCAAACCAATCACTGATATATATTTTATGTCCGTTGTGAGAGTTCTGTGTGCCATATTTGGTTCAATTCCATCATTGGTGGAGTTCAGAATGCTCTTTGATTGTAGGTGAACTATACATCCCAGTAACTACAACTCGCATATGTCAAGGTCTATTTTCCCCCAAGAGCGCCCCTGGGCAAAATCAACGATACTGCAAATGCTTACTTCGCGTAATTGGTTGAGCCGCCCCTGGGTAGAGGTAGGAATGTTATTGTTGGTGGAGTTCAGAATGCTCTTTGATTGTAGGTGAACTATAAATCCCAGCAACTACAACTCCAAAATGACAAAATCAATCCCCTCTGAATCCCACCAGTATTCAAATTTGGGCGTATCGGGTATTTGTGCCAATTTTGGTCCAGTGAATGAAAATACATCCTCCATATCAGATATTTACATTGCGATTCATAACAATAGCAAAATTACAGTTATGAAATAGCAACGAAAATAATGTTATGGTTGGGGGTCACCACAACAAGAGGAACTGCATTAAGGGGTCACTGCATTAGGAAGGTTGAGAAACACGTTTTTGAATAATTTTAATGTTGTTTATAGTTTTATTCTATTTTAATTCTGCATCTTTGCATTTTTAAAACTATATTACAATGATTTTAATTTGTAAGTTGCCTTCAAGTCCAGAGTAAATATATAGTTAGCAACAACAAGAAGGATGGACTTTTAGTTTCAGTTCATTTGAGCTTTGATTTGTTTTTGGGGTTTTTTTATCAGCATCAACCCCAAATTCCCAAAAATTCCATTGGGAGGTGAAGCAGACATATGGACTCATCCCTATGTTATGGTTGGGTTCACCACAACATAAAGAACTATATTAAGGGGTCAGTGCATTTGGAAGATTGAGAAACACTGCAATAAACAAACTAACATTTACTTAACTCTGATCCCAAGTGCCTAAAACCAATTGGCAGAAAGTTTTTTTTTCCAATTCCCACGCAAGCTGCCGTTTTACTCACGAGAAACACATATCTATATAAATAAAAATGTAATGTTCGTTTGTGGGACTAACATAACTCAAAAACCACCGGACAAATTGACACCAAATTTGGACACAAGACATCTAATAACCCAAGGAATGACCACGAATATTATCTCTGAACTTTGGCACTCATGGCTGCGCTTAATGGGAGTTGATCTCCAAATTATTTGGAAGATCACAGCTTACCTGTCTCATCTGCACACAACCTCGTGTCCCAGATGTGTTGTATTAGAGGTTGCAAGGATTTGCAACCAATGATGAAATTGAAATAACGTGGCACACAGGACTCCCATGACCAACAGAAAAGACTAGAAGGGTTTGGTGGGCATTGACCTTGAGTTTGGGAGTTGTAGTTCACCTACATCCAGAGAGCACTGTGGACTCAAATAATGATGGATCTGGACCAAACTTGGCACAAATATTCCATATGCCCAAATATGAACACAGATGGAGTTTGGGGGAAATAGACCTTGACATTTGGAAGTTGTAGTTACTGGGATTTATAGTTCACGTACAATCAAAGAGCATTCTGCACCCCACTAACGACAGAATTGGGGCAAACTTCCTACGCAGAACCTCCATGACCAAGAGAAAATACAATCTTGGGCATTGACCTTGAGTTTGGGAGTTGTAGGTCACCTCCATCCAGAGAGCACCTTGGACTCAAACAATGATGGATCTGGACCAAACTTGGCACGAATATTCCATATGCCCAAATATGAACACAGATGGAGTTTGGGGAAAATAGACCTTGACATTTGGGAGTTGTAGTTACTGGGATGTATAGTTCACCTACAATCAAAGAGCATTCTGAACCCCACCAACGATAGAATCGGGCCAAACCTCCCACACAGAACCACCATGACCAACAGAAAATACTGTTTTTTCTGGTGGTCTTTGGTAACCCTTCTGACACCCCTCATGACCCCCCCCCCAGGGTCCCAACCCCCAAGTTGAGAAACGCTTCCTTAAGGACATCCAGTCCAACTCCCTWCACCAGGGCAAGAAAATATAATCAAAGCCCTCCTGACAAAGAGCATCCAGCCATAGATATAGATAGATAGATATATGATATTCACACACAGAGATATAGTATCCTAGATTTGAAAGGGACCTCTAAAGAAGGTAAAYTGTATGTTGCATGTTCCAGAGTAGGCAAATCTCCACATCAACACTGACAAAGAAACAGCAAGAAATACTGTTTACCCACAAGCATAAAGAAATTACATTTATTAGAAAACAACACTTTCTCGTTACTTTATTTTCCAGATCACCAGGCTGGGCCATAGCAACGCGTGGCAGGGGATGGCTAGTACAGTATATAAATTTATTATTACAATCAATAACCAGCACCAAAACACGAGAAACACATAAGCCAAACTTAAGCTCCAGCCCAAGTACTATTGAAATCAATGCCAAAACTCACAATTATTGCAAAAGAGCTGTTCAGCTTTTGAGACTTACTACTCCCTTGTGCGTTATCCTACGTTTCCCATCCGAAGACTTTCTGCTGGTGTCTTCCTTCACTTCTTTGGAGAGAGTTTCCCAGTCGTTCAGTGGAGAACGCCTATGACTTTGAAGCAGGATGCTGGGAAACTTCGGCTACTTAAGTACAGAGGTTAAGGGGAAAGAGGTAATGATTAAGCCGGAATGCTTCCAAGAAGCATTAAGAGGCCAATTAATTTATCTACCCCCAAAAAGGTCTTTGATTGGTTCCACTTGTGCTCCTTTCGGAGGCCTGGGCATTTGCCTAAGCAGCGAACCCGAACGGAGGCGCCAGCAAATTGCAGCCTGCCAGGGCTTTATAATAATACATCAAGGTTTCCTGATATATATAACAAAACAACCTGTGCCCAGAGGAAGAGATCACTTGGCGCAGTTGTAGCTGCAATATAAAATGATTACAAAGAATAGCTTTGTGGAGGTACTTACTTACTTAGGCGATCCCTCGTTATCCAAGTACGGTGTCCTGGCGGTGGGTCCGTAGGTGACTGTGGAGCCCTGTTCTTGACCTGCATGTTCTCCCGCAGTGTGGGCATTGCTTTCCAGGTGGAAGGCGGTCCTGGTCGGGGTTGGCTTGACATGCCTTCTCCTTGGCAAATTTCTCTCTTTCACCCTCTATTTGTGCCTATTCATATTCCGCAGCACTGCTGGTCACAGCTGACCTCCAGCTGGAGCACTCAAGGGCCAGGGCTTCCCAGTTCTCGGTGCCTATGCCACAATTTTCAAGGTTGGTTTGAGCCCATTTTTAAAACTCTTTTCCTGTCCTCCAACATTCCATTTTCCATTTTGGCCTTCAACTCCCAGAAATCCTAACAGCTGGTAAACTGGATGGGTTTTCTGGGAGTTGTAGGACAAATCATGGGTATGTCTGTGTAGTAGTTTTGGTGCAAAGCCATCACGGTGGAGCATGCTCTGGTTACATCCAAATAGATTACTACAATGAACTCTATGTGGGATTGCCTTTGAAGACTGTTCAAAAACTTCAACTTTTTTTTTGGTCATGTCAGGAGCGTCGCTTCTGTTGTGAGAGAATTGGCCGTCTGCAAGGACGTTGCCCAGGGGACGCCTGGATGATTTGATGTTTTTATCATCCTTGTGGGAGGCTTCTCTCATGTCCCCGCATGAGGAGCTGGAGCTGATAGAGGGAGCTCATCTGCCTCTCCCCGAATTCGAACCTGTGACCTGTCGGTCTTCAGTCCTGCCGGCACAGGGGTTTAACCCACTGTGCCACCGGGGGCTCCTGGGTAGCAG